ATGGAAGTGCTGGGTGATTTATTATGCTGAGTTTGAAGAGTTGAATGGCACTACAATGGGCTAATGAATGAATTCTTGAAGTTTCACATCCTGTGGCAAACAGCTGCAGTTTTGGTTCATCTTGAGCAGAAATTGTAGGAGTTTGCTCTTCATGTCACTTCCTCAATGGAGAAGGAAAATGAGGTCTGTGTGTCTGACATAAAAAAGGCAGATGTGCATGTGTTCTGAATGTAGGCCACCTTTCTGCAGACTCCCACTCAACCCTCTTCATCTCCATCGCATTCGGCATCAATTTCAGTCTGAACTTAAGCAGCAGTTGTCTTGAGGATGCTCTGTCTCAATCAGGCCAGTTTAGTTCATCTGTGCGCTATGGCGGCGGGAGGCACACATGCACGCTCGATTTCACGGTCGAACTCTCTCTAGTGAGCATTTTCCACATATCGATGCATTTTGATGATGGGGGTTCTCATGCTATTTATTCATCTCAGTTTCTGCTTTGTAGTGAGATTTAAAAGCACCTGACACACAAACCAAAGGGTGCCAGCAGTGTTGTTCTATGCAATGGGACGTCCCCTTGCTGTGGGAAGAAGCTGGGAATGCCCATTTCAAGATTCACTCTCACTCACACACTTCTCGCATATTCAGGATTATTTTGTGCATGCTTGTTTTTCCCCACCCACACAGGCACAGTTTCAACCACCTTTTTGTACCGTTCTCTTTGCCTACGCAGAGTTACGCAGTTGCTGGCAGCTGTATGATGCAGGTGTATTGCAGTACCTGCATGTCAGGCTGTTATTCTCTCTCCTGCTCTGGGGAGATCTGCTGTGATACAGTAATAATGCCCAGAGGTGCGGTCACATCGGGTCTTTTTTGTTGTGCATGATCACCATGATGATTTTGTGAGTGGCAGAAAATATTGGTTGGACAGAAATTTGGAATTGAGATAAAAGGGGGGGAAAAAGCGTCAAGGTGACCGATACAGACATGAAGTGGAGGCACATGGATGAGAATTGTTAAAAATCTAATTATTTCAGTTCCTATTCCGTTTTCTTGTACTACTAATCAAACACATCATGTGTGTCTTGTTGGATGTGTTTAACCAGTTGGTAACAACACTTGATTGAATTCTCACATTTAGTTCAAAGCTGTATGTGTTTGATTCACTAAAAGGA